GTCACAATTCGCTTCAATTGATATTGTTGTCCGTTTTTCGCGTCAGATTTGATGTACAATTCCACCAGCTATGTTCTAAAACAATTGGTTCATGCTTTCAGCTGTGCACTATCGAGTTATGGAGCACGTGGGAAGTTTGGAGAGCACTCAAGAAGCTAGAGTTGCCCTCGGCTATTGCTTCGGGCAACTCTTAAGCTTCTTTCGTGCTCTCAAAACTTCCCGCGTGCTCTATAACTCGATAGTACAAGCTTTAGCATGAACCAATTGTTAATTGGGAATACTTTTGATTTGATTTTACGACACCCAAACGTCACTCTGTGTGTATCAGACTGCGTGACTATAAAGTTCTCGATGATGAAATAAATGAGTCCGAAAGTTGCATTCTAATACATTGACATTTCCAGGAGAAAACGGCCGACTCAAGGAATCAACTCTTTAACTCCCAGAAGTGATGAACACGTACCTTCTCCACATACTATCCATACATTATCCAGCAAACAGGTAATGAGAATACTCAAACTTATCAGTTAGAAGTCATTATCTTGATCAAACACTAAATTCTAGTAACTAATCAAATAAGGAAATGTGTAGCAGTTAGAGGATAGAATTCGAAGTTGAGAAATAGCCGCTTTACTCACGCCAGATTGCCACGAATTTTGCATGCAGTTTAAAAGGAATCCAAACTGATGAAACTTTCAGAAACAATTATATTTGATACTCATATCAATCAAGTATAAGGAAATAATGAAAACACCACCACTCTTTTAGGAGTGTGACATTGGGATCGGCGGTGTTACGATGTTTCGGTCACAGCTTAGTCTCTTTATCCAGTTTTTCGATGAGAAAAATTGAACTCAAATCGCGTGCAATGTGCGTTGTTGTGCTATGTCATGTTGTATTTTTTTTTTCATATTTTAAGTGGCTTTAGAGTGGAACAAAATCATTTCGGTTTTGTGGTTTCTGGATCAGAGGACCTTTGTATAATATTCGATGACCCTCATCTCAGACTCAAACGATCAACGATTAAAATCTCATGAAGTTTGGCTTTGTAGTGTTCAATTGTTTGTGTAGTTTATGCATTGGAACTAAAACTATATATTACGATATCGATGTTTTGATAAATTTTCTTTAGGCTGGGATGCAGTGTGTTTCGATGTCTTTTTATTTTTGCGGTATTGCGATTTCTAGAGCTGCTAAATTTCCTTGAGAGAGACAGATTTTCGTTTGTGGGAGGGAAGGGAGCTTTAAAAGCTTGAAGTTCAAGACGGAGGGCAAGTTATAAAGATGGATGTTGACTAAACGTTTTAGCGCAACTTCCTTCCTCGATCTTCTATTTTTTGAAAGAGAAAAATGAGCCCAGAAAATGACTTCATAAGCGGACATAACAGTTACAGACTTCCCCGTAAACTTGTAAAGGCTCGTACAAACTTCAACATCCATGCTGATAACTTGTTTAAGAAATTTAATGAATCACCACCACCTTTGCAGTACACAAAGAGGAAAACACCCCGAGGCATAAAGGATGAATTGTTCTTTGTTTATCTCTAAGAATAGCTCTTTCAGACACTTGAAAAGGAATATTTTTACATATATGTACTAAATTCAAGACGTGGGAATGATAAAGGCGATAAAATATGGAAATATGTAAACGCTAGGCGTAAAATAGTAGCGATAAAATTGCAAAGGAGACAATACGAATAAATTAATATGAGAGTTGACGAAAGTAAAACTATAAATTATACGAAGATACCGTAAATTGTTATAAAAATAGCTTTGCCCGGATTGAGTCTGACTGTTTTTTCAAGCTTGGCATAATTTTTTTTATAAAAAGCATCTCGTAAATTAGGCATTCCAGTTTACTTTTGCATTTCTTCAGGATTTTGAAACTGTGATGCAAGTCACTTGGGGTATGCCCACGCCGCTCTTTAATGTGGTTCCCGATTGAAGACTGAGACGCTTTGTGTTCTTCAGCACGTTGGTAGAGGTGCCGGCATGTGTAGCCGACATAGTCTGCATCGCACAGAACACACTCAAAATAATATACAACGCGCTGCTGATTGATGATGTTGGGCTTCTTTTCCGTTGGTTTTAATATGATGCTTATATATGATGCGTATTCAAACCTTTTGCAGAGAGCTGAATTACAGGTTTGTTACAATGAGATGTTGTTAAGGTTGAGAACAGACGTCGGCATTTTCTCAGGCGCTTTTTTTTTAACTCATATCCGATCTTTCTGTTAGTGGACACAGGAGAAATGTCAGCTCCAATTTTTCGGCTTAGGTCGCCAAGTTGCCTTCGTACGGAATTTGCTGTTTGGTCCTTAAAAGGAAGTATAATTCGCACGGGTGTTTTTTTCTCGTCAGACGTTTGAAAATGACCTCAGCGAGGTCGAAACGTCGTTCAAAATTATTATCACTAATTTTTTTATCTTGAAAGGCTTTTCTAAAGAACTACTTATCAAAAAGTTTACACTTGACAAACTCTCAGTGGAACCTCTGTCGCTGACAAAAAAAAAAAAACAATCATCTGAACTTTAATGACAATTTAGACAAAAAAAGTGAAATACAGAGCAGACGGACAGGACAAAATTCGAAAGTAAGTCCCATCGACTTCAAAAAGTATATCACGAGTCACATATTAAGCTTCCTTCAAAAATCAGGTTTTCCAGTTAAGCACGTGTCCCGTGAGCCCGTGAGTACCCTCAGGGTGTAATATGTGCAAGAACGTGACCTGACAAGTCGAAGCTGAGGTTGCATTTTCGGAGGGTTTAAAATAGCACCCTAAAATGGAGGTCCACCAAAGTTTTAAAGAACTAGCTAAATTACCCATGATCGTCGAGTCATAGGAGAAATTTTTCAGCTTTTAAATGGAAAGTAAATTCCCTGTAAAATTATTTATGCATAATTTATTATAATGTGGGGGTATTGTGGGACGAAATAAAATTAATTGTTTTATACTACGCAATGCAAAACACCAACTCTCCTCAAAAACGTGTTTATTCTCTTCAATAAAGTTTCTGAACGTAGCAAAAATTTCGCACACTAAAGCACATCTTGACTACAAAGCTGTAGGCGCGCGCAGAAGTTTAAATAAATTTTCAAATTTACTTCTAATCCATGTATAATTCTCTACTAATCCATGTATAAGTCTCTACTATTCTCAACTCTTTCGAAATTAGGAGTAGGAATCATCATTATTATTTAAAAACGTCTAAGAAAATATATAAGCCCTTTGGATAATTTATGTAAAAATACTGTTATATACAGTATTACAAAATAGCTTACCATTGAGTTTCCAAAAGTGGAAATATCTTAAAATAACTTTTATTTACAATGACTCCAAGACTCATCTGAGAGCTAGCAAGGCGAATCATCGACGCAAAGTTTTTAGCATATATTTGTGGCATTCAAAATGTCCGTTCTCCCAGGCGACGAGGAGAGGAGTTCTACCTTCCTTGTCAACCTTGTTGACATTTGCTCCTCGCTGAACAAGTAGTTTAATACAGTCTAAACTTCCCTTTGCCGCGGCTTTATGAAGGGCAGTATCACCAGACGAACTTGGTTTATTGATGTGCAAGGGCTTCCTATCCAAGAGATCTTTCAGTTCAGAAACAGAGTTCTGCCCCGCAGCATGAAGAATAAGTGCATACGTCGAAAATGTGACACGTCTGCAAGTTTGACATTCTGGGCTCTGATCGCTCAGCTGTTCTGTCGCCCGAAGACAAGATTTCACTGGTTTTAATTCAACTGCTCTCCTTTGTCGCGGAAAAATACTGGGTTCAACTTTGATGGTCCTTCGAAGAGTTTCGTTTGTTTTGTTTCCTGTTTCTTCAATTTTTTGGTGTGCCATGTTGAAGTGCTTGAGTCGTTGCAGCCAGTCGCTGTGGAACAAAACACTTTCTGAATACGTCCTGCGGAGACCTGTGGCTTCATGGTTAGCTTTATCTGTCTTCCAAAGAGATGCTACGCTCCCTTTGAATTTCATAATTCTCAATTTGTTGTCGTCAAAGATCTGAGTCTTGCGTTCGTTCAGCTTCTTCATCAGAGTTGATCAACCCACTGTTCTGTTTTTAGTTCGCCCGTGATATTATATTTCTGTTGCCGACTGGTGGCCCACATTTTGTCGTCAGCGTTTTATGGTTTTCCACTCGATAGGTTCCTTTGTTCCTTCTGGAAAAAACTATGCTTTGTTCAAAGAGCTAATTATTCATCTTTTGTCATGAAAATTATTCTTCATTGTCTTTGTGCATTTTTAACGCACATTCTTTTTATTGCATTCATCTTAAGGGCCATTTTTGACATGTCTTAATTATGTGAGCTCATTAAAGCGAATTATCATTTGTGACCAATTTGGCACAGAATTGCGCAACAAATTAAAGAACACGACGACGCAAACACACACACGTAGTTAAGTACTTTAAATAGTCGTTGGCCCACGAAGAAGCCTCGGGAAAAGGCGTTTCAAGGCAAGTTCACGTCTTGCGCAGGAAGGATGACGAATGCGGGTAACCTCCTTTTCTCTCCACGATCTGGAAGTTGATTCTCAACTGAACACCAAACGTCTTTTTGTGAGCTGTTCATAAGAGTTTTTAGTTGTGATTAAGAAAATGTCCACTATGTGATAGTTTCTTCAATACTTTTTACCGGTCTTCCTTTATGGAGAATGCGGACTCAAATAGTCACTCCATGGGGTCCAAATAACTTTGGTTTTCCATGAAGCAGAAGTGGTTCATAACTGTGTTGTATGACTTCATTGTTCTATGAAGTCTCACTCAGGAAGAATGCACCAGAACAGGAAGGAAGCTGATTCGTTTAAGACCGAGTGAAATAACAGAGATATAAACACTTCCCGAGTTATGTTATAGGGTGGGCGAAATAACACATTATGACGAAGGCTCACTGAATTCTTGAAGTCCAGGATTTTGATTCATGAAAAGCTGTCATGAATAACGCTTTTTTTTTTCCTCAAAGAAGTGCTGATCTTCCGGGTGATTTGAATTTCTATTGACTTTAATACCTTGCCGCCGTGGACGTTCGACGACCAATATATTTGATTGGTAAACTATGGGCGAGTAAAAGCGGGAAAACGGCTAAATGATTCACTTGAGAACTTGCGTCAATAGCCTTTCGTCTTCCTGTTCAAATTTTCCTCACAGACCAGTCATTATTTCTTGCCGGGGAGGGATGGGGTGTGGAGGTTTTCGAGGGTGACAGAAGGGGGATCATTAGCTGCCAACAGAGTATAAAGGGGGCTACAGAAAATTGACTGCAGAGTGACTGCAAAGAATATTACAGTGCCTTATGGGGGATCACGATAAGTAATAACCAGTCCCCTGAATTTAAAACGATTTTAGTCGAATACTATGACATAATTTTCGTTCTTTCAAGTGAGTGTCAATTAACCCAGGCGATATTGTATTGGCGATCAGTCAAAGTAATATAGAACCTTAGTTATAGAAAGTGATCTGAAGCGACAAATTTACCAACTGTAAAGAGTGGGGTCATTTTCGGTTCTGCGGTTTTGGCTATTCTAGTTCAGATCGGTTTTTCGGTTTTTGTGCAGAAAAACTTCTGTATTTTTGGTTTTGGTGTTCATTGCGGTTTGCGGCCTTTTCCGTTTTTCAGCATTTGGTTTTTCGGTTTTCGTCAAAAATATTAATGGTTCTCGGATTTGGTATCCGAGGTGGTTTTCGGTTTTTCATATTTTGGGTTCCGGTCTTCCTGTCTTTCTCGGACAGCCGCGAAACCTCTTTTATTGATGCTCCTCTTGATACTGTATCGGATCGATCAGGGTCTCGATAACTGGAATGTGAAAACTTATTGATTTGAACGGTTTTGCATGCAGTTTTTGGTTCTAATTGAATTCTGTTGCAGTTTTTGCGGTTTTGGCTAATTTTTCCTACGTAGTTTTGCTGTTTTTAATAGATCCAAATACCACCCTCGATCCATGATCCGCAAACTAACATTCTCAGATTTCTGAGTGTCTTGCGTTAATTTTTTACACCCTTTTTTCTATCACGGTCAACCGTGACTTGTAATTGAATATCTAACGTCATTACTGGCTCTCTTATGGTATCACCACGACCTGGTTAAAACAACCAGCTAAGCCGAATACCACGAGCGAGTGCGTTTTCAGATGACATCCTCTCTCTTTACGTTAGCAGAAGTTATTATCTGTGAAGTGTATATATAATAGGCGTTTAAGAAATGTGCGTGGGAACATTTGGGGCATAAGTTTCTTTAACCGCCCAAATAGCGAAACGTTTGTTATAAGCCGTTTTAAACGGGACTTCATGTTGATTGGAAGCTGAGCCTAAAGGGTGAAAGCAAGAAACTCGTATGTTGGCTCGTAGCCTGGCAGTGCTATCAGTTCTATGCATGATGACGGTTACTTTTGTCCGCTCAGCAATTGCAAAACTAGTAACTGCCTTTATTTATTGTGGTGCCAACGTTAGCAAAAGGCTTATTTTGGTTTTTATAATAGTTTTAAACTTTGTTTCCAGGTCCAGGGTCTCTTCAGTGGGACTTCAGTGTTTTAAACTGAGACGGAAACCTCTTGGCCCCGAACTTTTTTCGTGTTCTCCCAACAACGCCTTTCGCCCTTCGTCAGAGCGAATAGAGGAATTTTGGTTGTGTGTGATTTAGTTATAGAGGGAAAGATGGAGGTGCACTTTTGCCCGTCAGAACTCCGACCTTCAGCGACGCAAGTCTCAGTGGATTCATTTTAACGTGAGAAAGTTGGAAGGGAGCATGCCACACGGGCTGTATTTTAGGAAGAAATATTTCTGATCTAATTCTCCTACCTAAACGAAGCCTGATTAGGATTTGGGGATATTTGTTTTAGTGTGTGTACCTTCGAAGCAATAACTGGCAGCTTAACCTATTCACCGTTTAATCGGGAATGGAATTGAAACAGGATCGGAGTCCTACACCTTAAGCTTGACTAGCACTGCGGACTCTGAGTGTTAATTTGGGATCCTGTGACCTAGAACGTGTTCATCTTAGATCTCCACTGAGCTTAATGGGATTTACGTCTCAGTGCATGTATGCAGGTCAAGTTTGTTCAATAATGTTAACTTCGTTGCAAACTTGCCAGTCATTTAAAAGTTAGTAAGATTATCAGAACTTTTTATACGTTATTTGATAAATGTCGTTAGTTGTACTCTGGTCCTTGCCAGGGCCTACCAAAGCTGAGTAATTTCGTGGGCTATACGACGTTTCACAGTTTTTCGAAGTGGAGATAAATTTCTTTAGCGCTTGAGCCTTTGATTACGGTGGATAAATGCCTAAATTTTACCACAAAGAGGAAGGTGAAGCCATTTTCTTGATCTCATCAGCGTCAGCATAAAAGAACAAGAATCTGACGTAAGAAATAATACATACAGCATTTTTAAACGTTGAAAAACAAAGAAAAGCAAATGTGGACGTGATCATACTTTCTATAACAGAGGGCTTGACGCAAAAGCGATTATCTGACTTTTGTTCAGGGTTTCTAAAAAGCGCTTAAACTCGTCTATACGCTTTAATTCATCGTATTCGTTGCACGCTTATTCCACTTTAATCACAATATAAGTCCGTACTCGGGGCAGCAACTAAAATATATTGGGATACGTTTACTTTGTCAGATTTTAACGAACACCAGACGGTAAGGGCTAGGAAAAACAAGTGAAAACCACCATGGAAACCACTTTTGTCGAGTGAATGACAAAAGAAATATCACTTTGCCCATTCTTTAGCAAACAGTGAGGTAATGATCACTTCAACAAATTAACAGTTCTTTAAAAGTTCTCAACTTGCATCTTTCAGAAACCATAAAATGACGTATTCTTTTTCTACAGCTTTGTCTTCAATTAAACCAATCAAATGAGTTCTCAAGAAATTCTCGTGTGAATTTTTTAGGCAAAGAGAGAAAACAGAAGCAATTTGGTGAAGCATAGCTCTAAAAATATTCAATTATGCCCTTGTCTAGACGGCTTAGCAGATCAGAAATGTCTCTAATTTTCAAGCCCGAAATTGAAAGAAGATCCTATGAGAGGCCTAAAGTGGAACAAGACTTGGCTATCAGCAAACGTTCACCGAGCAAATCGGATCCACCGACAATTCATATCGAAGATCATGATGAACCTGTAACAGACAGTGATCTAGACGGATTGCCGAGAATTCACAGAGCGGTTTCCGATGGAAATTTGGTCTGGCTAAAAGAACTGGTCGAAATTGGAGGAGAGGATGTAAATGCGCTGGATCAAGAAGGATGGCCTCCACTGTACACTGCCATCAAGAAGGGAAAACTCGAGTGTGCAGCGTACCTGTTGAAGAAGGGCGCCACAGATTTTTACGACAGACAACATGCCGAGTACCAGAAAAGACTGGTCGCCGTTTCGAATGACTTTGCGAGAAACAAGGCCAACTCCAGTTACGTAGCGACTTATTGGCGATAAACGTTGCAAACTATTTTTCCTAGTTATAAACAGTATGCATCGTTTGATCCAGTTCAAAAGAGATAGAGCTGTAAGGTAATATAAAGTAGGATTCGAGGATCGAGTTGTTTTTGATTTATATTTTGGTAAATTGACTTTTTGATTTCTCAGGACCATCGAAAACTCCCGACTCGTTTTGCTAAGAGTGAAATATCGCTTTAATACTTTCTGGTGTATATATTACTGTTATTTCTCAGTGGAGGCATTGTTTACTCTCTGTCAATGAGGTTTTCAGGGTTAAATTATCCTTGTATTGTTTCTGTTGTATATCCAAGTTCTGAATTAAAAGCAACAACTGCGAAAGACATCGCACAAATTTCATGCATTTGAAACTTTGCATGTTAGCTGTGTGTTTACAGCAGGTAAACTCCACAAAATTGGATTTACCGGAGCAGGTGGCAAACACTGCAAAACATGTTTCAAAGATCGTAAGCGAATGCACGTTATTACACTCATCGTATAAGTAATAACCTTAACTGGAAGTGCCATACGTAAGTTTGTATCAAAATATGTTAGGTAACTCTAACTTACAACTCCAGTTTTTTTCTTTTTTTTGTATGAGAAGTTGTTGATTGTTATTTATCACTTTTACAGTTAATGCGTCTGTTTATTTACAATCAAATGCAAATAGAAAACATTTATGTACAAGGGAACATTAACTGTCTATCACTTATGGCAGCTATTATTCGTCAGTCAGTTCAGACCTAAGCTACATATTCCCTTGAGTGTGGTGAAAGTAATTAAGCCAGCTTCTAGATCACAGCAGATATCTGGCGAAATAGAAGCGGTGTGATCGTGTACGGTTGTATGTAAATACCTCAATAAGAATGACACGTTACATCCGCACAGTGTAAACACTAATCAATGAGTCAGCGATAATCATGACTCAAGGCCTTCTCGGCCAATAAACACCGAGTGGGGCAGCAACCCAGCAGCTCTGGACAAGCTGTTTCATTAGCGCGTTGTATAAAACAAGAGCGTCACGGCATATCGAATGATATTATCAATAAAAATTGTTTTGTTCTTAGTAGGATAGACCGATTTCCCTTTATATTAACATTAATCCTGGATTTGAACCCTAAAGCTTCGCTCAAAGATTAAATGAATGTAGACTTTTACTTTGAGAATGCAAGCAAAAAAAAATACCTCGGTTTTGATTGTCTACACAAGCCGGGGCAAGAAAAGGTCTGCCTTTTCACTCGTGATTGCCAACTTTGGATTTCCCGCTACGGATTGCGCGCTCGAGATTGCCATCTTTCTTGTACACTTTTTGGCTTTCTTATGTAATCTCTAGGCCTTCAAAAATACTTTATTTACAAAACTTATTCATTCAATGGTATTCAAGGCCAAACCTTATTATGGATAAAGGGTTTCTTAAGCAACCTCTCCCAAAGTGTCAGTGTAAACGGCGTACACTCTACCCCTTGCAAGGTTATTTCAGGTGTTCCACAAGGGTCTGTCTTAGGCCCCACGCTTTTCTTGATGTACATAAATGACATCGTAAGTGACATCAAGTCAAATATTAGTCTCTTTGCTGGCGACACCATTATGTACCGACAGGTTGTATCGCCTGCGGATCATCTTATCCTTCAACAAGACCTTGACAGACTAACTTCATGGGCCTGTCATTGGCAGATGGAGTTTAATGTTAAGAAATGCTACCACATTTCCTTGACCAACAAGCGAACCGTTGTCATACTACCATATTGCATGCATAGTCAGGTCTTGGAACTTATAACTTCCTATGATTATCTGGGTGTTAGATTAACGAGCAAGCTAAATTGTTGGAAAGAACATTGTGACAAAACTTCCAACAAAGCCAATAGAGCTCTCGGGCTGGTCAAACGGACTTTACAACCGTGTACGTCTGAAGTCAAGGAAAGAGCCTACAAAAAGCAATTATTCGACCTTAACTAGAATATGCAAGCGCTGCCTGGAATCCACACACACAATCAAGGACACTGAAACTATCGAAAAAGTCCAGCGACGGGCTGCTCATTTCGTCGCGCACAATTACAAGAGATCTACAAACTCACGAGATCTTGTAAATCAACTTGGTTGGGACTCCTTGGAATCCAGACGTTTGCTGGCCCAAGTGACTCTTTTTTATAAAATCAAAAACAATCTCATAGATCTTGATTTCCCAGCTTCTATCCAACCAGCTCCTAGACCAAGGATCCAACATGCCATGCTCCAGCCCCACTCCTAGACCAAGGATCCAACATGCCATGCTCCAGCCCCACTCAAGTGTTTTGGCGCGCAGTTATTCTCCGTTTATACGAACTGTTCGGGTATGGAATAAACTGTCAACTCAAACAGCCCAAGCTGAGAACATTACTTCTTTTAAATCATTAGCCATACGGGAACATTCAGAACATGAAGACCCCGAACCACCTGAAAAGATTTTGAACTATTTACATTTATTGTTTCTTTTAGACTTTACATATTTATTGCAGATTATTAGCACTATTAATAAGTTATTCTATATCTCCCAGCGTTAGCCCAGCTATTTGGGAGTATAAGTTTCAAGTTCCAAGTTCCACGTTCCAAGTTCCACGTTCCACGTTCCACGTTCCACGTTCCACGTTCCAAGTTCCACGTTCCAAGTTCCACGTTCCAAGTTCCAAGTTCCAAGTTCCAAGTTCCAAGTTCCAAGTTCCAAGTTCCAAGTTCAAGAATTTCGGATATTGGCTTCCTTATAAGTATGCGTTTTTTGAACCTTGACCCTCGGGCTTTCCTTGATCCATAGTCATTCTGAAGTTCACCTCCAAGAAGTGATTAACATGTAACTTCTCCATATAATATCTATACATTATCCAGGAAACAGGTAATGAGAATACTCAAACTTGTCAGATAGAAGTTTTTATCTTAATCTAACAGCAAATTCTTGTAATTAACTTAGAAGGAAATACTGTAGCAGCTGGATGGGAGAATTTACATTCAGATCAACGCAAACAAGACCTTTTGTCTGGTATCCAACCATTTAATGGAACAAGCTTGGTCAATATTGACTACGTGTTTGAACATACAAACGAAATTCTTGGATTGAAATGCCGCGAAGAAGAGGAAAAAGCACGATATCAAAAATGGTTTATCACAGAATTGAAAAAATTTAGGCAGAATACATAAGAAGCGACTTGATTGTTTCAGTCGCCGGCTGTGGGTGAGCAAAATACGTAACAATATAGCTGATATATAATTGATTAATTTTGTTATCTTTTGCGTCTTCCATGAAAGCAACTTCAACATAACACTTGACATTTTTTAGCGCACAAAAACAGCTTAATTATTTTCGATCCTTGCACTCACAAGACGTGATAGAGCGCATGACCAAATCAAAGCAGTGGTAAAGTCCCAATATGTCCAGCAGTTATAAAGTCCCAATATGTCTATGAGGGTCTTTCGAATACTTCATAACATCTTCATAACAGAATGTCTTCCACTTGAAAATGTCTTCGTGTCGTGAAAAACAAGGCCAAAATATGCCAACGGATCACCAGGTTCGAATAAGACGAAATACAAAGTTTAATTCGTTTTAACGGATTCTTTTCTAGTGGAAAGTTTCTTCGCTGCATGTCAAACAAAAGAAAATCATTAACACGATAACTAAAAATGTTTTCACATACTTTATCAATGAGACTACTCGTTGCCTTGGAAACTCCAAACTTGTTTGTGTCAACTTCATATCGGTGTGATAGGGTCACTCAAGGATTGGCAATAAATCACTGTGTTGTATTGTCTATTTTGTATCCTTACAAATTTAACAGTCTAGCCCGTGTTGATTTTTCATAAAATTGTCAGCCACTTTAGTCTGATCGACCTAGGTCTCAGCAAAGATTCTAGTTCCGGTCCGGAAAGTGCGCCGAGCGATCCGTAGCTTTTCTGCCGAACTCTTTAATCTAAACGGTGAACAATATTTCAAATGCAGAACGGATCCTCTCGCAACAAATCATGCTGGGTCAGATTCCGACCTCAGGACATGAAAAGATGCCATGATAATTTAAAAGAAAAATAAAAAAACCTCGGCAAAAATGATACTTTCAATACACGATTAAGAGTATGGAAGCCAAACACAGATTAGGATGCGTTCGTGCGGTTTTCGCTCACGAAAGAAAATGAAAACAAAGCAATCTAAAGAGAGAAGAACAAGTTCCATCCTCAGAACTCGGTACACAATTCTCAAGGATAATATCAGAATGTTTTCCAAAATAAAACGCTTCCGGTTTGTGCATTATCGCATCGCAGACAATATCGGAGGGGTTGATACAGAAACCGAGCTGCGTTTGAGCAAATTTTCCATCTTCATCTTATTCAGAGCAAGTTTGCTTTCAAGGATAATCTTGTGAACTGCCATCCTCCTTTGCGAGCTCACATCCTACTTTAGTGAGTTTAAAATTAGTGTGGAGGGTCTATTTATTCGTCGTCTATCTCAAGTTGACGCCAATTCTTGACAGGGGACATATAGACGCTGTGATGGAACTATTGAGATGAAACTTTCGAGAGGAGTATTGCTTTAATTTTACAATAGAGAGATGAATCTTACAGTGTTGAAATTGGCTGTTTCTGCCGGTTCCTTCATCATGTGTCTTTCCTTAATTTTCACTGATGTGTGCCTTTTGGGTCGACAAAATTGTTTTCCGAGCGAAAAGAGCTTCCAGAAAAAGCTTCTTGGCTCATTGGAGCGACTGTCTTTTCTGGAGTCAGGCGGAACCCTCGATCTTGACGAAAAGATATTTGACATGCCAAAAGGACTAAACCACCACGTTTGGGAATACAACTGTTTGAAGAGCATTGAAGCACTCTGTAATTTTCCAGTCTTTCCCAAAGCACCGGATAAAAGAGGAATAATATCACGAACAGAGATCACTACTGTGAGCCGTCGCCGCGTAGATGGCCATCGTTTACTTGGGTATTTGGTTCCAAATTTTTCAGGCGAATATCTCTTCGCGGTGACATCGAATGGCTTTGCTGAAGTCTGGCTGAGCTCTGATAAAGCCTGGAGGTCGGCAAACCAGATTGCTTACATCAGGCAAACTGATTTAAAATCTACAATCAAAAGGTGGGACTTTGAGGCCGTAAAATCTCAGATTTCCGCTGGAGTTTATTTAGAGGCAAGAAAACGATATTTCATTGAGATTGTCTACTCTCTTGGAGTGCGAAAAAGAGGCGAGAACTTTCTGCAAGTCGCCTGGAAACGACCAGGGAAATCCACGTTTGAGATTATTGAGAGCGAATCACTTTCGCCGTATACAAATGACAGTGAGAAGGACAAGTACAAAATCTATGACGATCATTTACCTAAAGCTCACTATTGTGCAAAATATCAGAGAAGCTTCGCAAACAAATATATGAGGTCAGAGCCATATCCTAGCTTAGACAATTCCGCGGTTAGTAGTGCCTTACCATTTTGTGACTACAATCCCAGCTACGTTCTCAATCCCACTCAATTAAATGGGTTTGAAAAATACCATGGTGTAAAAAAACATATTCGTAAAACGTACGGTTACCCATATCCAAATGTTGACGGCATTATCAGAAGTCACACGGCCCATACCGTGTTTTTGGCTGAGGATCCATTAGAAGAAGAGGAAGCATGGTCTGTGGTTGAGACGTACATGGAAGCTGTGGAAAAAAGCTATCCTGGGTAAGAATTTGAAATTTTTAAAAATGGGAAATTAGCCTTTTCCGCAGTTGTTGACTATTCGTGGATTGCCATTTGTCAATCCTTGATAATTGATCATTCCTAGCTGTCGTTGTTCGTTTATTTGTTCTCTCGTCTTTTCGTTGCTCGTCCGTTCGTTTTTCTGTTGCTCGTTCGTTCGTTTAGTTATTTCTTTTTTCTTTAGTTAGTTCCGTAACCCGTTCATTCTTAGCATCGTTGGTCGTCGGGGTTGTTCGTTCGGCTAGTCGTTCATTCCTTAGGTTGTTCGTTTAGTCGTTCGTTCGATCCGACGTTCGCAGCTTGGGTCGGAAGCTAAGAATACCTCTTCGAGTTCTGGCAAATCGTGTTAAGAGAGACTGATAATAATGATGAAGGCAAAATATAGCAATAAGTGGAAACAAATTTAATGTTGTATATTAATTACTGTTAGGCTCAGTGAGGTCTGGTTGATCTTCGCAGTCTGAAGTGGAGAGCTTTGTGTAAATCCATCATCCACATTTATGAAGTAAAACATTATCTCAACAGGAAATACGAACTTGAGGATATCATTCGCGTTGAAAAAAAGGAGGATCTTATAAAAGGAAACAGATATCTTCTGGAGCTTGCTGTGAAAGATCTCACCAACTTTGACGGCTATATTTTAGCGGAGTATGTATTTGAACCGAAGGATAAAAATGAACCATTGTGTTATCCCAGAGGTCTACAATGGAATAGAACAGCGGATGTCTACCTGATTCTCACGGTCAAAAACCTGGGTCGGTGGGTTCATCATTTTATCAAGAACGTGGAAGAAATTATACGAGATACGAAAGATGAACATTTACACGTGGTTATATTTGACTTCGATAGCCCAGATATTGACTTAGAGCATACTTTGAGAAGAAGCAATCTGAAGAACTATCATTATATCTCAAAGCCTGGTAATTATTCGCGCACAGTTTCCTTAATGGAAGGTATACAGTTAATAGATGATCCTGAGGCCATTGTAGTAACCATTGACTTACATCTCGATATCGGTAGTCAGATGATTAACGACATACGTAAGGTAAGGATGAAGAGTTCTTTTAAACTAACCGTTGCAAATCAGTTACAACACCACAGCCAATCAGAAAAAAGGTCGCACGACCCTTGGGACTGAGTAGAACTCAAAATGAGAAATTTAAGTCGTAAATTTTTCGGGGGAATCATATGGGTTTTAGGGTTAACAGAGGTGGGATCAGTCGTCGTCAACAGAATATTAAGCGGAGGAAGGGGGGAACTAAGGAAAAAATTGACTGCCAGTTAACTGCCAATAAAAGAAGATCATAAAAATTTTATTGAGCCATATGGGGGGATCGTGACACAATCAGCAAACTCCAACCCCTCTCCCCCTCACCCCTTATTCCACGACGGTTAATAATGACCAGTCACTAAGTCGTGTCGAGAAGATTAATAGCTTTGCCAAGTTGGCTTATGGGTAACCAATAAAGTTTTTTCACCTTGCATGCTGGCATTTGAGTTCTTGTCCCGGTCTCCTTGACATAATCTAAAAAGGAAGTTTTAATACTTTTTTACGTTATTTTCAGCATTGTATTAAAGGAAGGACCGTCTATGCTCCCCAAATCATCTTTCTAAATTGTGGTGGAAGCAGTGCTCTTCCCAGAGGCTCATGGTACCATTACAGTTATGGAACAGTTGCTATGTATAAAGAGGACTGGGAAACATTTGGAGGCTTTTCACAAGGTTTTGTCAACAAAACCACCTGGGGAGGGGAGGACTGGGACATAATCGACGGCGCAGTCAAGAATGGCCTTGAAGTAGAAAGGAAACGATCACCGTTGGTCTATCATTATTACCACACTAAAAATGGAATGTGGCAATTGTAGGAATTAGTTAGTTATTGACAAAGCTTGACGCCATGGGAACGAGGAACGAGGTTTATTATCCAGCTAGCCTCAAACCAGTCTGCCGCCACCTCAACTGACAGGAGGAGACTGGTGGAAAGGGTTGGGGAAACGAACTCGTGCGTGGTGCGTGATTGTCAGAAACCCCAGCTTCTGCTCCTCGCAATTGTAAATATGCACAGTGCTCGTCAATAAGCTTGATTTTTAAAAAAGCGAGAACTGAATCATTTTCTTAGTATGGTTTTTAACTTGTACAGTTGGTCTGATGAATATAGCTGAGCATATTAGAGAGAGACATCCTTGATCGCCACTAGGGACCTTAAGAAACCACGACGGCGACGGCAACGAGGACGTGGAAAAACAAGAGATCTAATTGGCAGAACAATAGCTCAGCACGTGCGTTTTGAAACTTTGTACATTTCTTAGCCGTCCTATGCAAAACAACAACGTGAATTCGCCAAAATTTGCGTCGCCTGGGAACCGAAACCGCGACGGCAAATTATTTTAATTTCCATTTGGAACTCAAAGGCTACTTTATACGTCATGCTGAAGTTGAGCTGTGGCGCTGTATGAGACAGTAAGCTCCTGCAGCCATTTTAAAAATTCTGACTAAGAGTAGAAATTCATTTTTTAATCGAAGTCTTCCTTGGCGTCGCCGTCGTGGTTCCTTAAGGTCCCTACTTTTGCTTGGTTTCAGGCAGAAAAATTGATATTTGTGCTGCCTGGGTAGCACAAGAAAAATAAAAACCCCAGACATTAATCATCAGGGCCGGGTTGTTCAAAGCTGTGTTAAGATAACCCAGGGTTTTCTTTCAGATCTGAAAGCTCTGAAAGAAAATTCAGCTTAATTCCATTTGTCTACTATTTGATGATTGAATGTCCAAAAAAGAACTAGGGAAATTATCCCAAAATGGCTTTTGATTAGAGAAATTTAGAAACCTGGATTAAAATTTAACCCTGGGTTAGAGCTAATCGGCCTTTGAACAACTGGGCCCAGTATGTTATAATTTTATTGTTCATGATCAGCACAATATGACGAATACGAGAATGACGCGTACTACTGGTACTAAGAATTATAAATTAAAACTACCTATATAGATACCAATGAGATGAGGTCTCGTCATAATTATGTCACATGCACATGCAATTCTATAATTTTTTCTGTATCTCTTGAATATCAGTTGCGTTGACTATCCTTACAAAATGCCAAAAGCGAGTAAGCGACGAGTGAAACAGAGTTGCGCACATGTCATCATCCACCCATTTGTCTATTCGCTACTTGGGTACAGCTATTACACGTAAAAAATGTTTGCAGTCTAGGCGATACCTTACAACCTTGAGAATTGAAAGTTTCCTCATACCAGTCACCCTCCTGGTAATGTATGGTGACTAAGGAGGAGCGGGGAAAACTCTAGGGTAGAGTTTGGGACGGGGTATGCCGAGGAGGCCCTCATACTCTTGCTCAGTCTTTAAAACGAATTTTTTCTATTTTGCTACGATTGCTAAGATTGTGGCACATCCCCATCATATAGCTACTTCTGGGATATCCAGACAAATTGTTTAAACTAGTATTGATGAAAATTGTTGTTACCGCACAGGAAGATCACGCATTTGTGCCTTACTCAAGACTTCCCCCCTTTCCCCTCCCCCCTCCCCTTTCCTATCTCCGACCGACCCGAGGGTGCTCGATGTCTTTTCGAAACATGTTGGTCAAAAAAAAGATCTTTAATTTGATCTACGGATTTTGGCTGGTTTTTCCATCTTCGGTATCTAATTGCCACATACCTGTTTTACTGTGGTAATAATGGTAGATATATGGAATTTTCCTGCGCTCTATTTCCAGACCAATCTTGACTGCACTGTCAATTAGATCCCAGTCTTCGCCTCCCCATGTAACCTTTCTCTCAAAATACTCAGAGAATCCTCGAAATTTGTCCCAGTCTTCCTTGTACTTACTGCCACAGTTCCATAGCTGTAGCGGTCCCATTTCAGTTGAGGGAACATCACTGGTTCCATTAGAATCGAGTAAAACTATCTGAGGAGCGTACAATGTTTTGCCTTTGATACAATCACTGCAATGAGTAGGGGGAGGGGTGATCATAAGAACATTATAGAGCCTTGGGGGGGGGGGATCAGATGAAGTTTATTGTAGCACAACCAAAACCCTCCGACCACTCCCACGTAAGCGATACTAATGGCAGCTCCCTTAGCTTTAATACACCTTAAATATCGGCCCGTCTCTGGTGAAAGTGCCTGTTACTTTCACGAGTAAAGTGGAACAAAGAAGACATAAAAAGGAGTACGATGGAGCCGTGGAAAGTAATAGTTATAAGGCAAAGAAAAAAACTACATAGGTTTTTACACCAAGGTAAACATTAAAATTTCTAACAGTTACTTGACTTTCAGCATTCGACGAATAACGAGTTATTTCAACGGGAAAAATTTTGATTGTCACGGTCCGTCATAATTTAATCAAAGGAAGCAAAGCGGCCGATTAAGTCTTTTTTAACTGAGCGTAATTATGCAAAATTCCGCTCTGGATTTTGGCATACAGCTTCGCGTATGATACTGCTAACTTCTTTAAAAATTTTCATTTTTCAGTGTGACGGCTTCTACCTCCTGGGACCATGGCGCACTTTAGACATAGGGGATAGTTCAAAATAAAGGTTTCTATAAATTTTTTGTTTTATTCTCTCAGAGTGAGAATAAATTTCGAGGTTTTTTTCTCTGAGGTGGCTTGACGAAGCATTCTTTAATTGGGAGCGTTTTCATGGCCTGTTGCTAGGTAAAACAAACATCTCGGAGACCATTGAATAGATTGTATTATTCATTTTGAAGGTAAATCTGCTTAGACCTCTAGAATAATGCAACCATAATTCGAGTTACACGCTGTTTAGGTTTTAAGCTGGCTGAAGACTACAGTAGAGGGAATAATTGTATTCTAATAACCTCAGTAACGTATTCTAACCATCTATTTATTCATCTGTAGTTTTAATTGTGTGTATTTTCCTCTTCTTTTACTGATTATCCTGGCCCGCCTCGATTAGCACTGCTATCTGCGGAGCCAGGGGAATAAGGATTTATTGTTATTGTAAATACACGTGTTAAACGTGTTAGCTGTCTATCATTCCAAAACTCAAAAGGTTCATTTGCAATGAAAAATCTGGTTTGTTCAGTTTTGATTTGTTTTCGTAATCATAACATAGGGTGTAAAACGTTTGAAACAAAGAACTTAATACTTTATAATTTGTTATGAGTTTGTTCTTCTTTTCAACCTACAAATAAAAATGCATTGGTGTGTTTGATTTGATTCAACTTACCCTGGATAGGCTCTACTTAACTGTTCGAAGTATTTGTTTACAACCGAGAAAGCTTCCACTTCTTCTTCAAGGAAAAATATCATCTCCTCGAAAGCCACTCTCGTTCCGTTCAAAGGTGGGTAAACATACGTTGGTTGTACATATAGTGAAACACCGTCATATCTTTGAAAGTCAGGTGGTAGATTTTCGGGATCGATGAGGTAACTGGGTCTATACTCGCACACCACTAAGACCTGATCTACAGCAGCTCGTTCGAGGAACCGGTAGCTTCTCTGGCCTCAAGAACTTGTTAGTGGACCTCCCGACAAATTGAGCACAGGAAAGTGCATCTGGAAAATTTTCATCGTACATTTTAAATTCATACTTGTTGTCATCGCCCGTGTATGGTGAGAAGAAAGCTTCATCGATTTCATGGAATCCGTTAGTGGTATCGAGTCTTTTCCAAGAGACTTGAATTAATTGTTGACTGTTATCAGGTTGATGTTGAACATAGGTTACCTCAATGTAATACTTCTTTCCTCCAACCAAACTAACGGGGCTGGAGAGATTTTGCGTACCACTAGCCGCAGGAATTCTTCTCGCATCCTTCCCGTTAGAGCTCAAACGAAGCCGCATTTCAGCTGATCCAATCGAGGTCACCAAAAATTGATAGAAATCAG